TAAGTGATGAAAAATAGGTCTGGTGCACTAGTTCACTTGTCCCTTCCTTATGTATAACTGCTTTACGTTTCATTTAGCCTATAATTAAAATTATTATTACTTATCACAGTCAGTTGTTGTGGTCAGGTCAGTTTGTTGGGATATTTTGGATATGTTTTTGAAGGTTTGTGAAGAAGCCAAGTGCCCCAATATTAGTGAATGCTGGGGTGGAGGGGAACATGAAACAGCAACAGCAACCATCAATATCGGTGTGTACTGATAAAAAAAACAGCAAATAAATGAGTTAAGGAAAGTTAATGTACAGTAGTTAGTATACATGTACTTGTACATACTGGTACGTGTATACTCTTTTAACCACTTGAGTACATACTCTGCAGGCAAATGGTGATACATTTGTATTAAAATTTTATACCTTAATCAGTTTGTAAAGCCAGAAATTTTAATACAATCGTTCGAAATATGCTTTTCAAGAAACAGTGCACTAAATATTGACACTGTATTCTTGACCGAAACCTCAGTTTGGTCTCAAGATTAGCATACATGCAATTTTTCTTGCCTCCTCAGTTTGGAAAATTCTCGATGATTCTGATCTATTTCAGATACTCGGTGACCAGTGCACAGGAGCCTGTATAAGATTCTACTCTGTGAAAACCAACAAGAAACCTCATCCGCCTGATCCCATGGAGCCGTCTAACACTGCAGAGGCCATCAGTCGCTGGGGTCTGGACTATGTAGTTATCACCTCTGTTGACAGAGACGGTAGGCTGCATTTTGAACAAATAACTCTTTTTTTAAATTACTTCTCAGGGAAACACGACCAAATACAAACGGGTATCCCCATATTCAGCTGGTTGACCACAGACCAGATTGAATTGATTTTAATAGTTTAAACCCTTGGCTAATTTAAAAGATAGGGGTCTGAACTAACACATGGAAAAACGGAAGTTTCCCTCAGAGAAAGAGCGAACCAAAACCAAACCTACCGTAATTAAAAGTGAAATTGACATTTCGTTANACATGGAAAAACGGAAGTTTCCCTCAGAGAAAGAGCGAACCAAAACCAAACCTACCGTAATTAAAAGTGATATTGACATTTCGTTACACCTGATGCTCTCTGACGTGGTCATACAGGTGATGTAAAACTGGAAAAGTAATGATAAGGGTAACTGTGCTTCTCATTACCCTTCAAATTTGACCACAAACCTGATTTGAAATTTTTCAAAATTTCATATTTTGCAAATATACAAATCTTGTATTTAATTTGTGTTATAAATGAAGCAACAGAAATTAACATAATCCTACGTAAAGCATATCATCAAGGAGCTAAAAATTCCATCATTAGAAAAAAGAGCCGACATTTATTTAATTAATATCTTCTTTAGTAACACTGAATATTGTAGTTATACTAAAGGATCAGTATTCACTACATTTTGTTAAAATTCTGGACATCACGAGCATTCTTTCAACATTCATACAAATTTCTTAAACATACACATAATATAACACTAATTTAAGATTCAATTAATTATATCATTTCAGAATCAAGAGCTCACGATGAATGTCTTGTAAGTAATCGTGTAATTTGCAAACATTTTTGTTTTTCTTTTTTCAAGACTTACCAGATGGTGGAGCTGCTCATTTTGCAGAGACAGTGACACAAATCAAAAAGAGGTAAAAGAAAGATTACTACATAATATTATGTACTTTTTGCTATAATTTTAAATGATTGTAGATCATTGAAATCTTTGTGCAGCATGATCAGTGTGCAGCTGTGGAATTAATTGAGATGGATGTTGATTTATTGTGTTCTCAGCCAATCAGATCCAAAGTCAAAACCTCAGCCAATTAGATTACATGTACCGCACTTACAACCAGCTGGATGTTTTTAATTCATACTCATACTTCATATGATTTATTTGAATACAATATTTGGATATACTGTATCTCTTCTTGGAGTACTTTCAGATTTAATTTGAAGATGGTCAAATTCTGTTATAATATTTAGGATTGCAAGTGTGTGGATAGCGACATTTTGTCATACTCTTTTTCCCTTAAATGCTCTTTAGAAATCCGTCCATTCTTGTGGAATGTTTGACTAGAGATTTCCGAGGTGACCTCAAAGGTGTAGAGGCTGTTGTCAAATCAGGACTGAATGTGTACGCTCACAATGTGGAGACAGTTAACAGGCTACAGTTGTGAGTTCACTGATTTTTATCCCATTATTAATTCTCTCCCTTGTGTGGGGGGAAGCAGTGTGGTCTTAGGTTAGTAAACTAGATCATGCCAGATTGCGAGCCCAGATTCCAACTCTGCATTGTGTTGTGTTTTTGCAAAAGCCACTTCCTCCCAAAGTGCTCGGAGCTCTCCACTCAGCTGTGTCAATAGGCAGGGCTGACATAATGGCTGTAACCTGTAACACCTGTTACAGCTGAGTATGCTTGATGGACAAACAAAGCAACAAGCTTGTTATGGGTGTGGAGATCAAGGTAACAGGTGACTCAAGGACAAACTTTTAGGAGAACCTGGCGAAAAATACCAAAGGCTAACCCGGCATTGGACTGGTATACTACCTGGGAAGAGTGACAATACTTCTAGACTCAACTGTGCGGACCAGTTTCGTACAAGTGTAACTTTATCTTGCTTTTCCAGCACCATTATTATGTCTGCTGCTTCTATGAGACTGTACTTGTTAGTTTAATGGATTATTGCTTTATTGAAGGCTTGTGCGCGACCCTAGAGCAAACTACAGACAGTCCCTGGAGGGGCTAAGGCATGTGAAGCGAATTCAGCCTAGCATGGTGACTAAAAGTTCTTTGATGCTGGGACTGGATGAAACAGATGAGGAGGTCCTACAAGCAATGAAAGGTATAACGCACTCTGTTTCTGTTAACCAACCAATTTGCAACAGTTCCAATACTTATACCTTTTCTCTTACTGATAAACATTTCTTGTCAAGGAAACTCTGATTGATTAATTTACACCCTAGCACAACACTACATTGTTCTTGTTTTTTTAGCTAAGTACAGTGCTGTGATGAACATCTTGAGAGGTGCAAGGTACTAAGCAGATGCTGGGAGGAAGGGCTTGTAAATACTGAGGCCTTGAGTTCTGTTAGAACTTTTCAGTGC